GGGCTGCGGCAGGGACTCTGAGATAACGCGCAGAAGGCCCCAGATTCCGGCTGGGTGTGCTGCCGCTGAGTTATTTTAGGGTGTCAAGGTTATGCTCACACACCCTCCCGAAGGTGGGAGGATGAGGTCAGCGGCACCCCCAGCTCAGGCCCCGATGAAGTCACCAAGACAGACGGGTGGGTGTAAGAACAGCGGTGGAAATAGATTTCCCACCTGCGCCCCGTGTCTGCCAGAGAGGTGAGGATGAACAAACATCACACCCCACAGGCTGTGAGACGCACCCTCAGCACACTTCGCTGCCCAGGAGACCCCTCCTGCAGGAAGCCGTCCCAGTTGCCCTGACTCTCAGGGGTCTTGCAGGGAGCTGTTAGGGGGAGTATCTTAGAGAAACAGTAGGGACCCAGAGGCTGGTCAGATGGGGGAAAGGATAGTCAGAGGACCGCGAGAAGTGCCCAGAATGCGGGAAAGCAGGATGGAAGTTAGGCAGGTTTGAGTTAGAATCCTAGTTCAGACTCATTCGCTTTGAAACTCTAAACCAGTCCTTTCTGGACTCTGCTTTCTCAGCCACAAAGTGGAAAGAAAAGTCTCCTTAAGGAGCTTAACAAATATTTAGTGAGTGCCTACTGTGTACTAAGCCCTGTTTTGGGCACCAGGGACACAGGAGTGAACCAGATAGACCCAGCTCTGCCTTCCCAGGGCTCCCAGGCTGGGGGAGACAGACATGTCACTGGGCTGCTAAAATACCGGGGGACTATGGTTGTGGTAGGGGGCACCTAGGGTTCTGTGAACCCCAGCGGAGGACCAGATTCAGCTTGGGGAAGGAGATCAGGGAAAACAGCTCCTTCTAAGATGACCCCTGGGGAGTGAACAGTTCTCCAGGCCAAGGGGTACAGAAGAGGGTATCTGGCAACAGGCTCAGCATGGGCAGAGGCCTGGAGAAGAGAGAGAAGTTCTGGATGATGTGGTGATGTAAACACACCTGAAAGAGAGCAGTAGATGAAGTTGTGCCGGGTCACGGACAGATTTTTTTTTTTTTTAAACTGTACTGGGTCTTCGTTGGGGCACATCCCATGGCATGTGGGATCTTAGTTCCTTCAACCAGGAATCAAACCCACATCCTCTGGCTTGGAAGGTGGATTCTTTTTTTTTTTTTTTTTAGTTGGAGGCTAATTACTTTACAATACTGTAGTGGTTTTTGCCATATATTGACATGGATCAGCCATGGATTTACATGTGTTCCCCATCCTGAACCCCCCTCCCACCTCCCTCCCCATCCCATCCCTCTGGGTCATCCCAGTGCACCAACCCTGAGCACTTGTCTCATGCATCCAACCTGGGCTGGCGATCTGTTTCACACTTGATAATATACATGTTTCGATGCTGTTCTCTCAGATCATCCCACCCTCACCTTCTCCCATAGAGTCCAAAAGTCTGTTCTATACATCTGTGTCTCTTTTTCTGTCTTGCATATAGGGTTATCATTACCATCTTTCTAAATTCCATATATATGCTTTAGTAATATATAATATATATATATTATATTATATATATATAATTATATAATATAATATATATAATAAACACTGTATTGGTGTTTATCTTTCTGGCTTACTTCATTCTGTATAATGGGCTCCAGTTTCATCCATCTCATTAGAACTGATTCAAATGTATTCTTTTTAATGGCTGAGTAATATTCCATTGTGTATAGGAAGGTGGATTCTTGACCTCTGGATCACCAAGGAAGTCCTCATGGGGCAGATTAAACCAGAAGATCATCCTCAAGTGCCCAGCTCACAGCAGCAGCCCCAGTTTCTAGGCTGTGAGCTTGCCCAGAGCAGAGGCTGTCCCCAGCTCTGTCCCCAGAGACTGTACTTCCAGCCAATACCAGGCCTAGCGCACTAAGTGCTCATTGTACAGATGAGAAAATTGAGGCTCAGAGAGTACAAATGATTTGTGTGGGTCATACAGCAAGTAGCTGGCAGAGCAGGGATTTGAACCCATCTAATGATGGTTTGTTCAGGGAAGAAATGATTATGGGTTCACGGTGATTATGGGCTGTTCTTGGTGCCCATTTAGAGCCCCTAGTGATTATGGGCTCTACTTCCATTGGAACTCCTTTGAGGCTCCCTTTTGTGTTGAGATTAAATCTCAGGTCAAGATTTCTATGGTTCCTGTGGATCCTTTAACTCAACCATTGTGAGTGAATTGCTGTTTTCACACCTTTAAGCCTTTTGCCTGGGATGTCCCCTCTTCCTGGAACACTCTCCTTTTCTGCTTCTATTTTATCTTCAAAAACTCCTATTCAAACATCAAAACCCTAGCTCCCATGCCCCTGCTTCCAGGCAGCCCACAAGGACATTCACAGGCAAACTCTTTCTCCCTTCTCCTACCTGAACTCTGGAGCCTCTCTCTGCAGGAAGAGTCTGAGTAGAGCTCTGTTTTCCCCAAGAGTGGGGAGTCTTTGAAGCCTACGTCTGTAGAATGAAGCCACTCTGGCTCTGTAATCTCCTAGCACAGGGCTGGGCACATAAAGAGAAAGGGAGTTTACAGTGTGAAAATGAAAAGAATAAAGACAGTTTTAAGGTTTTTTATTCTGGAGGTCTATAGTGCTATGAACCTTTTCCCTGATTCACAGCTCCTGCCCTCTACCCTATGCATACATCCTATGAAGTGCTAAGATGATGTCCTTGGCTGGATCTACAGGTTCTAGATGCTAGAACGTCCAGGGCCTTCAGGCATAGTTTGATCAAGAGCCTCAGAACTCAGTCTCCTTCTCTGCCTTGCTTCTGCTGTCCTCCATTGACTTCTGTGTCCAGCAGACCAACCTCTCAGCTGATCTTTAGCAGCTCCCAGCTCTTGTTTCCCCAGTTTAGAGATTCCTGTCTTATAATTATCAATCATGTCCCAGGGCGGGTTCCCCTTGACTAATACTGAGCTGTGTGCTACAGCAGATGCCCTTGGAGCCCTATGACTCCACGGCACTGGCAAACACTTATAAGGCTCATCCTGGAGTTTTCACTCTGCCCACAGCCAACATTCCTGGCAGCAGCCCTCAGGCAATGCTGGTTTAGGGCTGGAGGATGACTATCCCAGCTCCCTCGCTCTTGGGGTGGAACAACTCTGTGGGGTAGTCTACACTGTCTCCCAGAAGCTCAGCACGACTGAACCTCAAGTGGCTCGTGACAAACCATGTATCAACTGACCTCTCTATCTAATTTTCTACTTTCCTACCAGTGCTGAGCAGACACCAAGGCAAGGCTGCAGGTAGTTTATCTGGAAGGTGGTGGCGTTTTAATATGCCCGCAGGGACTTCCCTGGTGATTCAGTGGCTAAGACTCTACACTCACAATGCAGGGGGCCTGGGGTCTATCCCTGGTGGGAGAACTAGATCCCACAAGCCGCATCTAAGAGTTTGCATGGCGCAACTAAAGATCCCACCTGCTGCAACTAAGACCTGGTGCAGCCAAATAAATAAATAAATAATATTAAAATACACAGTTACTTTTTAAAATAAATTAAAAATGCCCCCGAATTCTTTAACACACCTCCCTTCAGAAAGTGAAGCTTAATTCCCCTCCTCTTGAGTGTAGGCTGAATTGAGTGACTCACTTCTAAAAAATAGAACATGGCAGAAGTGACAGTGTGACTTCTGGGATGAGGTCATACACACAGAAAGCCAGGGCTTTCTCTTGGCTCCTTGCTCTCTTTCTGATCATCCATTCTGCGGAAAGCCAGCTGCCATGTTGAAAGGACACTCAAGCAGCGCATGGTGATGCACAAGTGGCAAAGAATTGAGGCCCTCCTGCCAACAGCCAAGTGCAGAAGTCAGCTTGGAGGCACAGCACAGATGGGGACATACACACCAGCTATGTGACACGCTCTCGTGTGTGCCCACAGGCCACTTCCAGCCTCATATCCACCCCACACCAGACATGTCAGGACATGGACTGGTCAGATCAGGGGCTGTGGGGAGGCCTGAAGGTCCCAGAGGAGCAGCTGACATTGAAAGCTGAGGGTGTGCCAGGATAGGAGAGAGATCATCTGATGAATTTCAGAGTCACACCTATCTCCCCACCCTAGCCACACCAGTGCTCTGCTAAAAGCACTCAAGGCCTCCTGATCTTTGCCTTTCTTTTTCTCTTTTGGCATAATTTAGATTTACAGGAAAGTTGTAGTGATAGTACAGACAGTTTCTACTCGTCACTCAGCTTTCCCTAATGGTAAAACCTTAACATCTGTCCCAATGAACAAAGCAGCCTGGGCACGCTAAGATGCACAGATGCTCCTGATGTCCTTTGGATGTCTCCCTTTATTCCATGAGTGCCCTTTTTTCTGTTCCAGGTTCCAATCCAGGATCCCACATTGCACTGAGTGTTCACTTCCTTTTAGAATTGCACGATGCAGTTTTTTTGTTTAAGATATATTTATTTATTTTTATTTTTGGCTGTGCTAGGTCTTCCTTATTGCCCACAGGCTTTCTCTAGTTGCAGAGATTGGGAATATTTTCCGAGCAATGTGCAGGCTTCTCATTGCGGTGGCTTCTCTTATTGTGGCACGGGATTAGTTGCACCGGCAAGTGAGATCTTCCCAGACCAGGGATTGAACCCGTGTCCCCTACACTGGCAGGTGGATTTTTAAGCACTAGACCACCAGTGAAGCCCATGATTGCAGTTTTGAAATGCTTTGCATTATTCCTATTTCAAGCCCCTCTGGGAAGTCAGCTTTGTGAAGGCGGTGGATAAAAGAAACCGAGGCTGATGGGACTTCCCCAGCGGTCCAGTGGTTAAGAGTCCAACACTTCCAATGTAGGAAACACGGGTTCGATCCCTAGTCAAAGAAGTTCTCCATGGCCACCTTCCCCCTCCCCACCCTACTGGAAAAAAAGGAAAAGAAAGGAACTGAGGCTGATCGACAGATAGGAAGTCACTCCAGTCTGAGCCAGAAACAGCTGGGTCTGTGTGATGATTCAGGAGCTACACCTGCTCCCTTGCGGAGCTATCTCACCCGCGGAGGAGAAGGGTGCGAGGAGGGTTCTGAGGGTGGAGAGAACTGCAGGAGCACTGGTGTAGCAGTGCGTCCTCGGCAAACGAGGAGAACCCTATCAGGCGGCAGGGTGATGGGGTGGCGGGTGGGGGGAGGGGAGGGGATGCCCGGGCACTCCGGGATAAGGTCTGTAGGACCCTGTTACAGCGCTGCAGGTGATGATCTGAACAAGGGCGGTGGATCTGGGGAGTTTCTTATCTTCTCGCTTATCAGGGCCAGTCTAGATCTCTGGGAGGAGGGAGTAAAGGGGAGGGTGGGGAGGCAGATTCTTTGGATGTGGGGTTGACTCAGCCCCGGGAGGGAAGTAGGTGGCCTGTGATGATCCGGAAGAGATAAATCCTGGGGAGACTGTGGAATCTGGGATCCCTAGAGTCTGGGGGGGGGGGTGCGGGGCGGAAATCACAGAGGAAACAGGCTGAGCCTCAAACTCCACCCTTTATCTCCCTCTCTCTGCCTTTACCTTATCCTCACCTCCAGTCATGTCTTCAGACATCTGGATTCCAAATCTTGCCAATGACCTCCCAACTGTCCCTCACCCCAACTATCTCTCCCAGGAGAGACAGCTCAGACAGGTCCTCCGCACCCTGGTGCTGCCTGCCGGCTACCCTCCTCAAGATCTCCAACAGCTTCTCCTCCTCCCCTCTGGGGTGCAGTGGGGGCAGGGCAGCCCAGGGCAGCCCCCTCCTTCCTTGCCCCCCAACTCCAGTCTTGCACACTGCTGTCTACCCACACTGGCCAGTAGAGAGATATTCCAATATTCTCATCTCACCTAAGCTCTGACATCTTCTGAGGCTCCCTATTGCCCTCAGGATGAATTCTGGATTATTACTATTATTATTTATCTTTTGGCCACCAGCGTGGCATGTGGGATCTTAGTTTCCGGACCAGGGATTGAACATGTGCTCTCTGCCTTGGCAGCGAGGAGTCTTAACAACTGGACTGCCAGAAAATCCTGAATTCTGGATTTTTATATCCAATGTTTGATGTCCTGAAGGTCTCTGTGGTCCCATCAGCACACACACTTTTCCCTGTCAGCCCCTAGAACTTCCTAACCCCCTCTCCCTTGTTCACACCGGGGGAGCCTTTCCATCATCAGCACTTCAGCCCTTTCTACTGTCCTTATTCCTCCAGAGCCTGGGAGTTCCTGGGGGCAGATGATAATCACCCATCCTCACAATGGGTTGAGCACTTCCCTACATCCTCTCAGGACAGTCTGCAACTGTCCTGCAAGGTGTGTATCATGAGTCTGATTCACAGATGAAGACACAGTGCCTCAGGGGCTTCCACGGTGGTCCAGTGGTTAAGAATCTGCCTTGCAACTCAGAGGATGTTGGGGAACAAAGATCCTACATGCAGAGGAAGTAAGCCTGTGCACCACAATTACTAAGCCCTTAGGCTACAACTAGAGTCCTGTTCCACAACAAAAGATCCTGCAGGAGGCAACGAAGATCCCTCAGGCTGGGACTAAGAACCCGAGCAAACCAAATAAATGAATAGTTAAAAAATAAAAATAAAGACAAAAACAAAAACGGGGGGTGGTGGGAAGAAAGTAAGAGAAACAGAGGCTCAGAGTGGACCTATGAGATGCCCAAGATCAGTAAGCCAAGAATAAAAGAGACCCTCCTTCCAGTTTCTTCCCTGTGACTGACTCCTGCTCTTTCTTTTTCAGCTCAGCTGTCACCTCCCCCAGGAAGCCACCCTGGTTGCCAGATGGGGTCAGGTACCTCCTGTGGGCCCCCAAAGCTGCCTGTGTTTTCCCATCACAGCTCTGACATGATTGCCCGGTGCTGTGACTCTGTGCACCCGTCTTCCAGATGGAGCAACTGAGACTCCAAGAAGTGAAGCTTCCTCCAGCCGGGAATAACGGAGGGAGGGTGGAGCTCACCACCCTCAGAAGCAGCTGCAGATCCGGCCCTTCCCTCCCCCACTACCCGCGTACCCACAGACCCACACCTGACCGTTTATCTCCGCAGACGCCCGCCTCCCACACGCAGGCGGCCGACTGGCGTCTGCGCGGCGGAAGCTTGTAAACACATCCTAACGCTGGGACCGACTCGTTGCTGCGCTCCTTCACTGCCACGGGGAGGGAGATGCGGGGAATGCGGGGTGGGGGGACGCAGGCAGAGGGCTGAAATATGGTTCTTAGGACCTTGCGGTCCCACTTTCCTTCTGCTCCCCTGATAGCTGGGCCGGGGGTGGGGGGTATGGGGAGACGGGCCCTGAGCCCCGACTCCCGGCTGAGCCCGTGATCCTGGGATGAAGACAGCTTCCCAAGCTCAGTGCCCTTGGAAAAGTTCCACGGGACTTCCTGGCCTGGCCTGGAGGCTCAAGTAAGATCCGCCCCTCCTCCCGTCCCCCATCTGTGTCCGACCACCCACTCCCTTTCCTAAGTGGCGTTGGGAGGGGTCTTGCGGGGACAGATTGATGGGTTGGGGACAGATGCATCGCGGCACGTGGGAGTTACGCCTGGGTTTAGAACGGGGGAGGGTGGCACGCTGGTCACCGCCACCATCGGCCCCTGGAGAGCTCCGGCTGCGGGGAAGCCGCCAGGCGGAGGCGAAGGGGCTCCCGGAGGTTCCTGGAGAACAGGCTTTCCTACCTCCCATCCTTCCATCGCCCCCGCCACTACTGTGGTCCCATTGCGCAGGCGCGAGGGGGAGGCCCAGAGAAGGGGGTCGGCCGTCTCGAAACACACAGCACCGCCGGGTGCGAGGTCTGATCTCGGGGTGCAGATGACGCTGGGTGGGTCTAGGATCTGGGGTGACTTAGACTTGGGGACCCTGTGTCGTGCATTGCGTATCCCGCCCATTCCCGGGAAAGCTAGAGCTCAGCCGGCCTTGGCTGTGGGCAGAGCACGCCCCCTGCTGGGCACGGCCGGAATCCGCGCAGCTACGAACATTGGTACCCTGGATAGAGGCCCCCACTCAAAATGAGCACCCACCCAGCTCCCCGCTCCCCGGCTGAAACTGACCCCTGATACAGAGCTCCCGACGCTGCGCTGAGCCCCAGCTCTGAGCTAAGCTCTAGACCCCGAGTCACTGGTCCCAGGCTTAGCCTCCAACCCCGGATAGAAACCCTGGTCTGTTCGGACCATCGCTCCCTAAGGATGTCCGACCACCTAGAGGAGCTGTATCCATTGCTCCCAACTCACTAATCCCACCTCTGACACGACCTGTCTGAGTGGCCTGGGACAGGTTACTTGTTTTTCATCATCTGTGAAATGAGACACCTGTAGGGTGTCACAGCATTGTAGGGTTGCTATGAGAATTCGGTGAGTTAATGTATGTAAAGTCCTCACAGTGACTGGAACGTAGTAGCTGCTCAGTAAATATTAACTATAGTAGTAGTAGTGTCAGTCACTCTGTCCTATCCCACTCTTTGCGACTCCATGGACTGTAGCCCACTAGACTCCTCTGTCCATGGAATTCTCCAGGCAAGAATACTGGAGTGGGTAGCCATTCCCTTCTCCAGTGGATCTTCCTGATCTAGGGATCAAATTCAGGTATCCTGCATGGCAGGCAGATTCTCTATGGTCTGAGCCACTATGGAAGTCATCAACTATAGTATTGTTATTATTGCCAGATATACTGCTAGGCACTTTAAAAGAAAAATAACTTTGTCGAGACATAATTTATATACCATACAATTCGCCCACTTAAAGCATACAATTCAGTGGTTTGGTATGTTACAGTATTCATTTTCTAAAATTATGGCAAATATATAATAAAAACTACCATTGTAAGCCTTTTTAAATGCACAGTTCAGTGGCATGAAGTACCTTCACAACGTCGTGAATCCCCACCATCATCTCCAGAACTTTTCCATCAACTGCAACACAAACTCTGTCCTCATGAAACCCTAACTCCCCATTCCTGTCCCCCCAGCCTCTGGTCACCTCTATTCTACTTTCTGTCTGTGGATTCTCTCATTCAAGTTCTCTCATATAAGTGGATCATACAATATTTATCATCTATTTTTTTTTCTTAAATTTTGACTGCACCTCACGGCATGCAGATCTTCCCTGACCAGGGATCGAACCTGTGCCCCATGTAGTGAAAGCGAGGAGTCTTAACCACTAGACCACCAAAGAAGTAGCGAATGTTGGTCATCTTATGATTGGCACCTTAAACCTATTTTTAAGCTTCATTCATGTTAGCATGAATAACTTCCTTCCTTTTTATGACTGAATTATATTTCACTGTTTGGAGAAGGAAATGACAACCCACTCCAGTATTCTTGCCTGGAGTATCCCATGAGCAGAGGAGCCTGGCTAGCTACAGTCCATGGGGTCGTAAGAGTCGGACACGACTTAGTGACTAAACCACCATATTTCACTGTGTGGGTGGGTTGGGTTTTCCAGGTGACTCGGTGGTAAAGAACCTGCCTGCCAATGCAAGAGATGTGGGTTTGATCCCTGGGTGGGGAAGATCCCCTGGGGAAGGAAATGGCAACCCACTCCAATATTCTTCCCTGGGAAAGTCCATGGACAGAGAAGCCTAGTGAGCTATAGTCCATGGGGTCACAAAGGCTTAGCAACTGAACAATAACAAATGGATGGATCACATTTTGTTTAACTATTCCTCTGTTGATGCACATTTGGGTTATTTTGTCTTTAGGCTAGTGTAAATCATACTGCTATTAAAATTGTTATGAAAAAATATACTTGTTAAAGTCCTTCCTTTCAACTCCTTGGGGTATATACCTAGGAGTGGAATTGCTGGATAATATGGTAATTCTATGTTTACTTTTCTGAGAAATGACCAAGCTGTTGTCCACAGAAGTTTCACCATTTTGTATCCCTGCCACAAAGTATGAAGGTTCTAATTTCTTCATATCCTCCTGGACACTTTTCTTTTTTGGCTGCACTGCCCAGCATGTGGAATCTTAGTTTCCCAGGATCGAACCCATGCCCCCTGCAGTTAAAGGATGGAGTCTTACCCACTGTACCACCAGGGAAGTCCCTCCCGGGCACTTCTTATTCATTCTTTTATTTTTTGGCCTCGTTGCTTGTGGGATCCTAATTTTCTGACCACGGATTTAACCTGTGTCCTCCTTTGTGAAATCACCGAGTCCTAGTCACTGGACCACCAAGGAATTCCCTTCATTCATTCTCATTTGTGGGCTTGTAGGCTTTATTTTTTAAAATTTTATTGTTTTAAATTATGAAAGTATGATAACACATTTATTGGAGACCTGGAAAATGCAGAACAAGGTTACATATAGTCCCACTATATATTACAATTATTTTTTTAAGTAGATAAAAGATTTTTAGTTGGAGTTTCAATATCAAACTCTTAAAAATTAACAGAATGAATATACAGAAGAGTAGAAGGATATGAAGTGAAGAAGTGAAGCTGCTCAGTCGTGTCGGACCCTTTGTGACCCCATAGACTGTAGCCTACAAGGCTCCTCTGTCCATGGAATTTTCCAGGCAAAAGTACTGGAGTGGGTCACCATTTCCTCCTCCAAGGGATCTTCCCAAGCTAGGGATCGAGCCCAGGTCGCCCGCACTGCAGGCAGACGCTTCACCGTCTGAGCCCCCAGGGAAGCCCCTGTAGAAGGATATAATAGACCTGAAAATCACTATGAACCAATTCAGCATAATTAAGATTTATACAATTTCCACACAACAGTAGGATGCAAACGCTATTATTATTTCCATGTCAGTGCATAGGAACGCCAATACAGAGCGTCCGGGATGAGAAACTAGTACCTGGCTGTGAATGGGAGGAGGTGGGACAAAAATTACTGGGCTAAAATCCTGGACCTGCCACTTTCGCTTGCAGGTCCTCAGGCAAGTCACTTCCACTCTCTGGGTCTCAGTCACCTGATTTAAAAAACAACAACAAAAAAGGGTGGGATAAAGAGACATTTCATCTCTTTTTGCCTCCTGAAGTCTGTGCCAGGGTTGTGTGTGCCCCACGTAGAGGACAGAACTCAAGCTGCACTGGTTGTGCAGCCTGCTCTGGCCCCCCTGGTCCTAGCTGCAACTGGGACCCAGGGGTTGGAGATTCAGGGAGGAAATGGAGCGGCAGGGGCTCTGGGAGCTGCTCCTGGGTCCTGTTCCCAGGACTCACAGCTGCATCCTCTGGGGGCCCCAGCTGGCGCCACCGCCCCACCCGCCAGCGGCCTGGAGGCTCCTGCATATCTCGCTGGCTCATTCCAACGGACGTCGTGCCTGGATCTGGGAAGTCCCCTGGTGGGATCTCCAGGGTCCATCCGCGTAGCGACTGCATTAAACCTAACCTGGTGAATTTATCTGCAACCCAGAAAGATGTATCTTCAACACTGGGTTAGATTCAGCCCGTCTGGAGGGTACAGCAATCTATATTTTTTATCTACATTTTTAATGGTCATTAAAATGGTCATTCTGTAGTAAAGGGTTCCCGGGGCCGTACTTTAAACGGAGTCCCAGTGGGAGAAAGGGGCAGTCCCAGAGCCACACAGTTGTTATTTTTCTTTCTGGCTCGCTTTGTCTCCATGATCCTCATATCTCTGTTTTTGACTCTAAGTCTCCTTCCTCTCCTTTCTTGGACTGGCCCCGGGATTGGCCTCTCCCCTGGCATCCGGTCCCTTTCGTGATTCCGGAGGAATCCCCCGAGCCGCCTGGCCCCGCCCCAGGCCCCACCCCCACCTCGCGGCGATCTGCTCCCATTGGACTCTTCGTACACCGCCCGCGCTGCCATTGGCTGAGCCTACGTCCTCGCTCGCCCCCACCTCCGCCGGCCCCACGGCGGTCCTTTCCTGGAGGGCGGGGGCGGGGCGGGGCCGGGCCGCACAGAAGGGCGGGGCAATTGGAGGGCTGGACCGAGCTTCCCGCCCCGCCCCGCCGGGTCCCAGTCCTCAGGCACGAGTCTCGCAGCCACAGCAACGGCCTCTCAGAGGCGGCCGGACAGAACCTCGACGGTCGAACCAACGACTGAATCCCAGAGAACAGGTAAGCGAGCGGTGCTGGGGCGCCCCGCATCTCAGCATACCTTGGGGGCCACTTGGTCTCTCTGTTTCTGTCGCTCCCTCTGCTCTGACAACCCCCCTTCAATCAGAATTCCTGCCTCAGTTTCCATCTCCCTCTCTGTTTCTCCCTTTCCCTCTGTCTCTCTTGCTCTGTGGATCAGGGGAGGCGGACTGGATCTGATCTGCCTCCCCCCACCCCCCGCATGGGTAGTGCTCTGAGACC